TCCCATGAATTGTTTTGTAATGTTCTTGTTTTAATGATGATCTAGAATGCAATTACTCAGAAAGAACTGATTAACGTTCAAACCAAGAAGGCTAATGCTAAAAAGATCACCGGTTTCCAGTTTTGTCCAACTAATCCAGCTCAAGTACGCGTTACTTCGGCGGATTCTCGAATCCGAATCCTGGAAGGTTCGGAAGTGATTTATAGGATCAGCGGTATGGCTCCGGAAAATACTTTAATTTTCTTACCCGCTTTCATTTTGTTCGACACTTTCTGCATTTATGTTACATGGTTTTTTCAGGGTTCCGAACACTAGTAGTCAAATTGCAGCTTCGTTTACTCCAAATGGGAAATATGTGTTAACTGCAAGTGAAGATTCCCAGGTATTCTTTTGGAGGTACGACGAGCCGAAGATCACTGGCACCGGGAAAAGAACTGCGGTAAATGCTCGCGGAACCGAGCTGTTTCCGTGTAAGGCTGTTTCAGTAGCTATCCCGTGGACCGGAACTATAAAAGGTGAGCCTCCGTCAATGGGGGATCACAGGCGAAGAGGAACTCAAGACGAACGCGTCATGTGACATATCACCAATCAATGAAGACATTCAACCAAACAAGAAAGGCTTGCCACCCACTTCCCAACAAGAAGAACAACGATGGAGAAAAAGCAACTGCACATCGGAAGAAGAACCTGCCGAAATCTAATGTCGAACCCGGATCAGCGAGGAGTCGTCTTCGAATTTAGGATCTTCATCGATAAGAAAGGCGATTCACCATCAATGTCATCTTCATCGATACAAGCTGGCGATCCGCCTTCGAACTCGAGTCCCGTCCCCGCGAAATTGGAGGAATCGAATTCGCTGCCGGCAGTATCGCCATCCATTTGGTCATGGTTCGATGTCGTGGGTGGCGGAGCAGCCGGTCCTACGGAAGCAACAGCATGGGGCGTAGTAATCGTTTGCTGCCACACTTGATGGTGAAATCAAGGTTTACCAGAATTTCGGGTTGCCGCGTAAAATTGCCCTGATCTAAACATGATTAAGTACATGGAATTGACAACAAAGAGTTGAGAACCACGCAGTCAATTTAAACTGCAACAAGTGGTTTTATTTCTGTTCTTATAAAAGTTTATTTTTGTGTATTAATATCTATAGCTCATCGAATGTAACAATTTTCTGTTGATAATTCATTTCATTGTACAATCATTAATCTTTGAAGAAGAAATTACCAAGTGCTTTTAACATTTTCATTTGTATAAATCGACAATTTTATGAGTAATATTCATTTCATAATTATTATGGGGATAACATTATCAAAATTGTTAAAAAAAATGATATTCAATACTCTTTTAACTGAAAACATTTTTATAGTTCATATTGAAGAAATAATTTTTAGAAAATTTATCAACCAATGAAAGTAGTTTACATTATACCATTCAAATACAATAAAAAGTTTTTTCAGATTTTTTTTTTAAAAATGTAATTCATTTATTAAAAAAATTAAAATATTTTTAGTTAATAAGCAGACTTTAAAATAAAATTTTAAATTTTTTTAATCGAGTTGAATTTGACTGGCGCCTGATTAATGACACTCTTGGCCCATTTTAACTGATACCCTGACCAAATCCAACCCTTTCTAGAACTAACTGGTTCCTAACAAGTTCGGAGCTGGAGAAGCTGCTTCTCGGAGTTTGAAATACGACACCGTTTGATCTCCTCTCGAGTCTTTAGATTTGAATTCAAATCAGATCAAATTTCCCCCGGCTGCTTAAGCCTGAACTCCTCGATGCATTTATCCAACGAAGAACTGTGAATCCAGCTATATCTTCCCTTTAAAGATAGAATGAACTCTATAACTTCACCGGTAAGCTGCGCCATCGACAACAAAGACCTAGACGACATCATTATGGCGGTAATCGACTCGGCTGTCGCCTCCCACTCCTCTTCCAACCACCGCAAAACCTTAGCAATCAAATACCCCATGTGAGAAAGGGGCCATTAATGGCCAAGGTGAACATGAATAAGAGATGCAGGAAGCTATGTAAAGCTTTAAACTGAATGAATATTGAATCTATTAACATATGCAGAATACTGATACAGAAGGTATATTATTTGCAATACATCAGCTGACATTATATACACACTTGCACAGCTAACAAAGCTGTAACTGCTCAGCAGTTCTAACAGCCTTAACAACCTGAAACTAACAGCCTAACAGATTACTAACACTGTCAACTGCCTCACGCATTCATTCATACTCTCATCACACTTAACATACACTAATAGTCTAATATTCTCCCTGCTTTCTCAACATTCTTGATGAAAAAGATGAACACTTGAATCAAAGTGTGTCGTCTCCTTCCGTTCGACTTGAATCGAATGTCGATGCTTTCTTCCGTTTGACTTGAATCGGAAGTGTCGATGCTTCCTTCCGTTCGACTTGAATCGGAAGTGTCGATGCTTCCTTTCGTTCGACTTGAATCGGAAGTGTCGTTGCTTCCTTCCGTTCGACTTGAATCGGAAGTGTCGATCCTTCCTTCCGTTCGACTTGAATTGGAAGTGCCGACGTCTGATTTATCTTCAGACTTAGATTTGTCGGATGAGATCGCGGAGGAACTCCAAATATCATCTTCTTTGAAATCAATACTCTCTTCCTTAATAGGGACATATCATTATCCGTAAGTTGTCATGTTATTGTGACCATCAGTCATGGACTCTACATCGAATCCCGATAAAGATGGTTGAACGGATTTTGTAAGTATTATATCAACATCTGATAGAAGGAAGCTAACCCAGTTGCAAAAACTCCCTTAAGATGTGGAACTTCAACCCAGAGACAGCATGATTGCCTCATGTTCTCCCAGCGGCATCAATACCTGCATCCGGATCCCTCTTGTACACTGGGACATCATTTGATTTGCAGAATTCTTCAATATTGTCATCTAAAGCTATAACTAGGTAATTCGGTATATCAACTCTCTTGATGCTAGAAACTTAAACCTCCAACATCTCTTTCACATTTGAATTTGCAAGCACAACTATAATATCTTTCTGAACAACAACTTTCTCCAAGATCGCAGCCAATCTTGGGTTCACAAATTCATCAGGAACACAGTCGGGTTAGTTCGCAAAGCTTTGACAGTACCAAAAGGTCCAGTTTTATGCTGCTCACCCAACCAGAAAACTGCTTTTGGACATTATCTTTTATTTGTTGGGCCAGTTGCAACTTCTCCTTCAAATTCCTGACCTGCTTCTTTAATTCAGAATTCTTTTCTGATAGTGATACGATTTCAGACTTCAGCATCTTACTCCGCTCTGAGGATTCACACGACGAAGAACCAATCTGGAAACTTGATTTGCCAATTCGACGGTTTTGAACGGAGGCAGTGGTATTGATGAGGCCATGAGGGAAAAGAAAGCAATGAGACAGCAAAGAAGAACTCCGATCACAATGGCTATGGTGATTCGAGATCCACGAAACGACTGCGCTTTGTCCCTGCGATGAAGTCTACAGTAACTACAGCTTGAGAAAAAAAAAACTGGCGCAACAGGGGAAGAGTAAACGACGCCAGGATCATTTAGCGACTGATACCATGTGAGAAGGGGCCATTAATGGCAAGGTGAACATGAATAAGAGATGAGCAGGAAGCTATGTAAAGCTTTAGAACTGAATGAATATTGAATCTATTAACATATGCCTTAACAACCTGAAACTAATAGCCTAACAGATTACTAACACTGTCAACTGCCTCACGCATTCATTCATACTCTCATCACACTTAACATACACTAATAGTCTAATACCCCAACCATCAATCCCCGCCCTCCCCCGTATCGGACCCTTCTCCTCAACGGAAATTCCCGCAAAAAACAATTCAGAGCCCTAGCAATCAAATTTATTCCCCTCCTAACTCCAATCGCCGCCGCTTTGCTGACGCAGGTGAAGCCTATCATCGGCCTTACAAAATCACGAGGTCTTGCGCTTCCCAAGTAAGCGAGACAAGCCCGATGGCGATAGTGCAGAGGACACCTGTAACCTCATTGCCGGATCACCAGTCGTCGGAGATGTATTTGTCGCCGGGTTTCGGAAGAGTTGACGTGGGTAATGGATCCGAGGTGCGCCGAGGAGTTGTCGAAGGAGCGAGGAGAAGGGAGGGATGACGCATAGCTTGTCCGGAATGTTTCCTTCGGTTGAACTGTTTAAGGAGTATCAAAATGCAGCCATGGCGGTAATTAAATATTTTATTATCAGAAACTTAGCTTCGGCATTTTAAATACGATTTTAAATTAAACATCAAAACAGTAATCTCTCGTTAAATGAACAGATTTTGGAGAAATCTGATTGTACGATGATCTCTGGAAGTCCTTTTATTAAAAAGTCAGGTAAATTACCTCTGGTTCTCTTCTTCACCTCTTTCTAATTGATATTATGAGGTGAAAAACTGTAACCTGACGTTCAAGTTTTGGAGGTTGGAGGAAAATATCGTTTTACTTCAATGTCTCATACGAAATCAAAGACAAGAACGTTGAATTCGATGAAAATCGCAATGTTCAGCGTGCTGAATTCGTGGTTCGAGCTTATATGCAGTATGTTCCTTAAACTCTTGAGAAATTGGAGTACCTCTTTAATGGTTACCATTTACTGTGTTTGCATTACCATTTAGTTTGATCATGTTACCAGAGGTGGGAGATTCTCTGATGGATGGGGTTCGTGTGAGCGGAGGGAGAAGAGATTTCTAAAACCAAACCATGATATCCCTAGTACAGCTGAGACTAGAGCTAAGAACAAAGCTTGCCAGGTAGGCGTTTCCCTTCACAAATCTCACATTTGCAGTTTTGATTCTTAGATTTTAAGCTATCTAAGTGCCGCCCCTAATTTGGAACAGTTGTTTGTTTGCTGAGAAATATTAGTTTTGTTGAAGATCTTGCAAACTACAAGTAATTGGGTAGTCTGAGTTTAAAATTTTGAGGGTAATGATATCTGTTGATTATTAATTGCAAACTTTTATAGATTTTCATTTTTTATTATTCCGGATTGAAGAAGGGAAATGGTGGGGGTTTTACATTTTAACGACCATTGCATGTGTAATGTACCATAAGATAGTTAATTGCTTCAGCAATCAATGATCAGGAAAGATGGTGCTTGGTCAATAACTCGATGGTTTCTAAGTAGGATTGTAATTGAATCGAGTCAACTTATTCTAGAAGTTCAAGCTCGTTTCAGAACTCGTTGTTTGGAATTCGGTTTGAGCTCAATAAAATACAGTTTATCTAAGTTTAAGTTTGCCTCCAAATAAAGTTGAACTAGTGGAGCTGGCCTCAATTAAGCTTATTTACAAGATTCATGTATTTAAACTCGAGTTTGAGTTCAAGTTTGTTCCTATAAATTTTCAGGGTAAAATAATAATTTAATATAAAAACACATTAGCCTTATGAGTTATTCAGATTAGGTATTATATACTCAAATTTAGCTCATTCAATAACTAGAGTTGTGCTCAAACTCAGCTCAAGAATGACTGAACTTATTTTGAGGTTTTTCAGAGTTGAACCTGTATAACTTGTGAGGAGGGATGGATCGAGGGAGATGAGCGGTGGCGGTCGTTTCTTAAAATTTTAATAGCTAGTTCCCTTAAAATTTTATATGTTGACCCTTAGCATAAATCCTGTGCCGGTCCCACCTTGTGAGCATAGTTGCCTAACCTGAATTCGCTGTTGCTATTTTTCAATCTCATGATACCATAATCCACAAGTTTTTCTATTCATTTCCTATAGTCTAGGTCTACTAGATAAGTTGTTTGCATCGATCAAAGATCCATTTGCACAGCTACTCCCATATTGTGATTGATTTGATCTTCATTTGTTGCCTACTGTTTTCTGCTTAAATTTGAGGTGTTTGTCAATACATTTTGCAGGATGTGCTAGGAATTGGGGAGTATCGTCCTGGTGCAAGCCAATTTCAGCGATAGATAGTCATATTCATTGATCCCATTCCATGGTCCAATTAAATTCTGACAATCACCATTATAACATTTAGGGTGTGTTTGGTCAGGGGAATGTGAGATTCCCAAAGGAATGTGAGATACCCAAGGGAATGTGAGATACCCAAGGGAATGAAATCCACATTCTCCTATTTGGTTGGTTGGAAATGTCATTCCCGGTAATCTTACATTATTAATACTGGATTTTTTAGGTATATTACCGGGCATGTCATTACCTCCATTTCCTTAAGTATTGTTGGATTACCGGTGTTTTTGACTAAAATGCCCTTAAAAAAATTTTTTTTAAAAAATATCCTTATTCTGTCATTGAATAATAAAAATTTTACGAAGGTTAAATTACAAATTTATTTTTAAATTATTTTAGATTTACAAAAAAAAGTCTATAATTAAAATTTTATATGAAGTTCAAGGGTTAAAATAAAATTTTACCCTTTCATTAAACTTTTTTATATTTTCAATTTTGTAAAAAATTATATAAATTTTATGAATTTAAATTTTTTAAAGGAAATAAATAAATATTTTTCAACTTGTTAAAAAAATAAATATATAATAAGGACAATTTGATCAAATATACATTCCAATAATCTTTTATTCCTTCAACTAAACACAGTAATCTTACATTCCTGCTAAACCAACCAAACACAAAATACAATATTCTCAGTAATCTTATTCCCTGGTAATCTTTTATTCCCACTGATAATCTTACATTCCGTGAACCAAACGCACCTTTAGGGTTAAATGCTTACTACTTTAGGGTCAAGTACCACTGATTGACCCATTGATAACTGTATAATTGCTTGCTAAAATGCCCATCAAAGCTTGTTGTTTAAATGATAAAAACAAATTCTTGGTGATAACATCAAACTTGTTTATTCGTATTATTCATGGCAAACGGAATTGTTTTTTAGTCAAATTACACACTTCCAAAGGCATGGGAAAAAACAATAAGAAAAATTAACATTCTCACTTACTAAATACATGACCATCAAGCAATGTGCCTGACAAGTATGGATTTCGTACCATCCTCTGATTTTAATTTTGTATTTTAAATTATTTTTTATTGAATAATAATAATAAATGTCATTTCATACTAAAATAATAATAAAATAATTCAGAGTACCAAACATGAACAATTTAAAAATTTAGTGAATAAATTGAAAAAATAAAAATACAGTAAATGAAATAGAAGAGATAATAAAATTTAGTGATTATTTAATTTACCCTATTGATTATCAGTAAGAGAATTTTAATAAAGTAGGTTTTTGGAAAATATCAGAAGTTACACGCTCATGACTATTGGATTTGGAAGCCATAATAGAAAATTATTTTGAGTGATTAATCTATCGAATTTTACGAGTATTATTTTATTATTTAAATTTTATTTTAAAATTATTTTATTCAAGTTGAGTTTTCAAATTTGAATGGGATAACATGCTAACCTATTTATTAAATTTTATTAATCATCATTAGGTCGTTCGTTATTTATTTTCCAAAAATACTATAATTCATAACAATGGTTGTTGGTATCAAAATAAAATAAAATATAAAGTAAATAAGAAAACCATTAAAACCCCGTTAATCAATAGAAAGAAAATTGATCTTTGAATTGAGAAAAATTGATTGTTATATTGTGCATACATTGCTCATTAATTTGAAAATAAGAGCTCAGATATCAAAATATTAATAGCCATGAACATAGGCAAATTACAGCACTGTTCCATGAAAATGTTGAGATCATAAAAATATATGATTACAAAAGAAACCCTAATTCCAAAAAGCATCACAAACCCTAAATCTAAAACCTTTGCTTGAAGGAAACCCAATGATCATCATACCATTCAATATGATTCCTCAACCGAGAAGCACCGTAAGCAAGCTCATCCCCAGTAGTTTCAAAATAAACCCAGTACTTCAATCCTTGCTTTCCTGAAAAAGTCCCAACCCACCAACCATCATTGTCGAAAGCATCCACCCTTTCAAGATGATTAAAAATCCGACTGGCTCTATTCACGATCACAGAAGGTGGCACCGGTCGGACCTCGTCGGCCCGAACTACCTCGACCAACGGTTGAGTTTGATCTTCTTCTTCAACCAAATTCTTGTACCGGACTTTGTAACGGGTGTTGTTAATCAATGAAGACAACCTTAGCTTCATAGTATGAACCCACGAACCCTTCTTCTTTGCTGCATACTTCAACTTTGTCTCCTTTAGAAAACACCACCATTGTTGAACGAACACCAAAGAGAAATTATTCAAGAAAAGATTTTTTGCGGGAGAGTGATGCAAATAAGACAACTTGTGGTATTTGTTTTTATAGATGATGAAGGCGGTTTATGTTTCTTACCCTAATTGTAATACGAAAATACTTTTATTTATCGTTTATTTGCTTAGGCTTGGGCAAACCCTTACTTGAAAAGAAAGTTATTATTTGAAATACACAGGTTGTCGTAAATTAAACATTAAAATGTATTTTATTAAATGGGAGTAATAATTCAAATTAATGTCAAATCCCAGACTATTTAAAATACATTAACTCGTTGATAAAATTTAAAAAAAACATTAATTAAAAATAATTAAATATAACACTATTTTTCGGGTTGATAGGTGACAACACCAGCATTTAAATTGGTTGTAATCGTCGATATTTCCTATTTTTTTTCTTTAATTTTTATATCACATTATTATTTTGTTCTTAATTTTTGTAGCAAGACAAGTCGCAACACATGTTTGGCATCTTGGTTTACACATGCACTCAATAATTTGTTAGACAAGATCATTAATCCAAGAATAAAATAGAAAATATGATAATAATATTCAAATATTATTATAAAAATAAAAGATAAGGAACGAATTTACTTGTCTTAGAATTGTTAGAAGTATCATAATCCGAGACCATAATCACACCTAAGATGATGAAGCAAACGAAATTAAACTTGATAAAAATAATAACAAAAATAGAATATAAAAAATACTCTATCTAATTGATCAATTGATCGAAAACGAGTTGAGGTTTGTTGCTACACAGTTTTCTTAAGACAGGTTTTTGGTCACTCCTTGGTGCTCGATGTCATCGATCGTCCATCTCCCAGGATACAATAACTAAATGATCAACATACAATAACACAATTGTCGAGATCACAAACTATCCCTTGTCTTTACCTATCACCGAAAAATTAGAGAAAGTGAGAAAAATAATTTTCAAGTTGTTTGAAGTTCTTAAATTCTGAGATGTGTTTAACATAGAATGTTAGCTCTCTATTTATAGAAGATTCTCAAAAGTGATTTACTCAAAATATATATCTTTTAATAATCAAATTTAAACATACAATAATATATTTTAATTTGAAATATTCAAAAGATATAGATACCTTTCAATATTCAAACTTAAAGAGATAATAAATATCTTTTAACTTAAATATTCAAAATGATATAATTATATTTTAATATTCAAAGTTAAATATATAATAAATACCTTTTAATTTGAAATATTTAAAAAGAGTAATTATCCTACTAATATTCAAATTAGAAAAGATATATATCTTTTAATTTAATTTAGAATATTATAATTTAATTTAATTATTAAATCCATCGATATTCACTCACTTTTTCCAACATATTTTTCAATTAAGATTGAACTTCCTCTCTCTAAGTTTAAGCTCTCGATAACGGAGTTTAAGAGCACTTGATTAAGATGACAAAGGATGAAAATATTGGGAGAAGGAATCAACATGTTTTTGATATAATTCCTTAATTGATGAATGTCAGAAAACCAATTGTAATATAAGTTTGGCACCTATCTAGCTAATGTCCATCAAAACCCACCAATTTATGCTCTAATTTATGTTTTTTAGGATATTCATTGTACAAAGCTTCATCTTCCACTTATCTTCCAATATAGTCCTTGAACTTTCATTCCACTTTTCAATTAAAATCATAGATTGGTCTTCATTTTATTCAAACAAACCAAATTAAATTTGTTAAAATGTCCATTAAAATCAATTTGTGGTCATCAATCTCGATAATTTCTTCAATTTAGAAATTTAAGGAGTTGCAATTCTTCTTATGAAGAAAATTCATCTTCGAATTTTACCTAAAACTAATAGATACAAACATTCTCTTTCATTCAATCTTTAGATTCTCACGTGACTTCCTTAAATTTATGATTCCTCCAAAACACTTTTACTTGAGAAATTTTCTTATTCATTAGCTAGGATTTCGATTGGTTCTTCTTCATATATGAAATCATGTTAGATTTTCACATATTTATATTGAATGATCTGGGAAAGATCATAATGATATATACGAAGCATAGATACGTAGAACACATTACAAATTTGGCTCAACTCTGGAGGTAGAGCCAATCAATAAGCTAAGGGGCCAAATGTTTCTAGTGCTTCATATGGACCAATGAATAGAGGATTGAGCTTCCTCTTATCAAAACCGATAATTTTTTTCCATAAAGAAACTTTTAAAATTAATGTCTCTAATATCCAACTCGATATCTTTATGTTTATCAAAGGTAGCTTTTAATCGCTCATAAATTATCTTGATCTTCTTCTTAATTTATCGGATCGATTCATGACCAATGCATAAGTTTTCACCTAATTCATACCATCAAAGAGGAGTACGACATTTACGATCAAACATAGCTTCAAAATAAGCCATTTGAATAGAAGATCAATAGCTATTGTTATACGAAAACTCAATTAGGGGTAAGGATTTCTCCCTAACTATCCTTAAAGTTAATTGAACAAGCTCAAAGTATATTATCTATTGTCTACAAAAGAAAGAATAATCATTAGAATCATATTTTTTTAGAATTTCAATAGACTTATTCAATTCATGAGGAATTTTATTTGAATAAATCTCTTAGATTGTTCATCCAATTAAGAATGTAAGGTAGTAATGATATAGATACAAGTATCTAAAATCTATTTGAATCAAAATAAAATGAGCTGACTTGGTGAAACAATCAACAATCAACCAAATAGAGTCATGCTTCTTAGAGGCAAGGGTAAATCGAAAACAA